GCGACGGCCAAACGTGGTGACGAAGACTACATCAAACAGTCTAAGGATGCGTTCATCCTTTTCCGACACGAATTCTGCTCACGAAAGAACAAGGCAGAGGCTGCTAGTGGTGCAGGGGTCAGGACTGTAGAAATAATGTATCATTTATTATTTTGTATTAAATAATTAAATATAATTATATTTTATAAATTATTTGATAAAAAATTGTATCCAAAGCAAAAGGAAGTGATTCAAATGCTTGTAATGGCTTATAAGCATTATAAGTAGATATTATACTGTCACAAATTAATAAGTATGTCTTAACCTTGTAATCTTAGGAAGTATATTATAATCACTTGTATAACTTGACAATTTACACAATTATAATTGTAATTGCCAAGTTTTAAAAGTATTCTTGTTTACTTATTTAACATTGTACTATTATTGCTTAACCCCCTATAAAGATTATATTAACATTGACAAATTTTATAAAAGGTACAAAATGTATAGGATTACAAGTGAATACAATACTTAAGACTTTTTCGTGATGTTGCTAGCCATATTTGCATAGTCTTGTTTGAATGTGAGACTCGGAGGCACACACACGCAACACAACATCATTGCACCTGGTAGTGATGAGCTCTTTCACCCTTTCACCAGTTACCATAGTGACCTGATGGCAGACATCTTATAACACAATCCCATTCCATGTTATTGGGTTTTCCAAGCCCATACTTAACTCCTAGTGCTACCTAGTACTGGCAGCCTGAGTCTGACTCCCACAAACACGACAGAGGTTGACATACATTATCCAGTTATTGTCAATCATACGTCTCTGGATATTCAGCTTCTGGACCAGAAATGAGCAAAGCTGATGAAGTAGATAAAGCTGACAGGAATGCTTTCATCATCATGGAACATCTACTAGACTTGCACAACAAGGTAGGGTCAGACAGCTCCAGGGAAGACGAAAGTAGACGACTCAGTCGCTTCTGGAATAAATTCCCTGACACCCAACGTTCAATACGTAAACTATGGGAGTGTCTTGGGCAAGTTTCTACTGAAATTTCAGCTATAGATCAAAAAATATATAAAGAATATTCGAAGAAACCCAGAGATAGAGATACAGGAAAAATTGAACAACTGTATAAAGACAGGGACAGTAAGGTCGAAAGAGCTCGCCTTTTACACTCAGACCACTACACAACTTATAATAATCTATTATTGATATATTTCCCGGGATTTGTCAAGGAGACAGACAAGATTGCACAAGTGTTGCAGAAATATGGGACAAACATTTCAGATCATGACCTTCAAAGCTCAGAGATTCTTCAATTGGGATGGAAAATAATGGGGCATTAGATTCAAGCACCAAAGAGTAGTAGTACATTTTCACATACTCCTTCAGTTTATTCCAAGATGCTGTGTACTATGTGAGAGCAAAGTCTGTTAGACTAACGGTTTTGAATGACTCATAAAGATGTATAAGATGCAATTGGGGGACGCAAATGTAGTACAGAAATAGATCAAGTATATGCTCAAATACATTGTAATGGATAAAATTTGTGATGTATCTATTGACAAATTACTTACCTTGGGATTATGCATCATAGCATATTCTAATGTGCATGGATATTTCTGTCCTGTATTTTGCGTGCAATGTACCTATTATGGAATCAGATCAGATGTATCTGATGGGGCATCCGAGTCATTCTTATGGTTGCATGCAATATGTTTCAGCTTATATGCTTTGGAGCAAGACAAGCTCCAGGTAATGTCGAACTTTGCTTTGGATCTCGCTGGCACAGTGGTTCGGTGTTGTTCTATAAAATGACACTTCTCTGTATTTCCTTCTGAACAATTGTCACTTCTGGAGCAAGACAAGAACACATCCTTACTTAACTCTTAGTGTTTTCGGCATGGCTCGCAAGAGAAGAAGCAAGCAGTCAACTGAACATGGAAGATCGAGAGAATCTGTGCAATCGAATGCTTCATTGTCAGGGAATCAAGACACGGTGGAGACAAAAAATGTGTTCATGCTCTTTGAACGTCTTCAACTCCTGTACTTC